TTAAAACATATGTATCCAAATTCTATTTTAATTGTATTTATGTTTGAGGGAACGATAACCAGTGACCACTGTATTAATAATTTTTAATTTTATTATATTTACGTTAAAATCTATAATAATTAATTTTATTAATTAGAATAATATAAATTTATATGACATATTTTTTTAAGATAAAAATATCTTTACTTTAACTTATATTTGCCATTTAGGTTGTACAAACACGAAGGAAAAAAAGTATTAATTTGTGGAGTTTGTGTGCTTGCTATCAAACATGTTTTTAACAAAATTGCCATTGTTGAAAGAAATACGAAAAAATCACTCTTTAGTGTTGGAAGAATCACGAAATCGTTATTCTTGGAAAAAAATTGTAAGTTCATTTTTTCGTTTTTATATAAGTNATGCTTCTGTCTGTAATGGTATTAATTAATGAATACAATCAAGCAGAGTGATTTGCAGTTGTCCGTTGACCAATGTTAGCAGCCAGCAAAAAGTATATCCATTGAATCAGTGAATACTTTCAATGTAGTGTAACTATTGGTTTATAGTTTTAAAACATATGTATCCAAATTCTATTTTAATTGTATTTATGTTTGAGGGAACGATAACCAGTGACCACTGTATTAATAATTTTTAATTTTATTATATTTACGTTAAAATCTATAATAATTAATTTTATTAATTAGAATAATATAAATTTATATGACATATTTTTTTAAGATAAAAATATCTTTACTTTAACTTATATTTGCCATTTAGGTTGTACAAACACGAAGGAAAAAAAGTATTAATTTGTGGAGTTTGTGTGCTTGCTATCAAACATGTGTTTAACAAAATTGCCATTGTTGAAAGAAATACGAAAAAATCACTCTTTAGTGTTGGAAGAATCACGAAATCGTTATTCTTGGAAAAAAATTGTAAGTTCATTTTTTCGTTTTTATATAAGTTGAGGATTTCTTGTTTCTGTAATGTCAGGGATATGCGTCTAGGGTTGTTGTTATTTTTTGTTTAATGTTGATGTTACAACAACGAGTACACTATGTTGGGAGAGATATATCTCTAATTAAAGGTATTGATCTTATAAAACTGTGGTGGAAGGGGTCCAAACAAACATTACTCACTGATGGAGAGGTATTATACTTAGCTAACTAAGTAAAGGCCAATGACGAAAAGATTCAAATATATTGAAATATGTTCCTAGTGAGGCTTAAGTAATTAACTTCATTGTTATTGGTGCATTGGATGAAGTCATGTGTGAAGAGGCAGAGGTAAGACACGCAAAGGTCATGGAGGAAGAGGTTAATGTGGTTAAAGAAGAGGTAAACATATGCTCCAGAAGGTTGAAAAATGATATAATTTTACTTGCAAAAAATTCTCTTATACTCAAGTCAATAAAAAAGTTAGATCTTAATGTGCAAAATAGTAAAAGTGAGTTTCAATGTGTCTTTCTTAATAAACTACATGTGTATGAGTCTAGATGCCCTATGTCATTTATGTGATTTAAATATGAATATAATTGTTACAAACATGTTATTGAAAAACATTTAATGACTATTTAAATGATCTAATAAAATTGTTGAGATTTTAATAAAGGATCCTTGTTGGGTTGCGCGATTAGTAATGTACTAACGATCCTAATTTATGTGTCACTGGTGTTTTTTTAAATTTTATTGTGTTTTAAATATTTATATTTCAATAATTTGATATTACTTTTGCCACGTGAAATGATCCTCCATTAAACTCTATTTAAATTTTATATAAATTTTATAACAATATTTTTATTAAAATTGATATTTTTATTAAGTATTTTCATTAAATATTTTTATGTAAGTATATTTAAATTTATATTTTCATTAAACTTTATTTAAGTTTTGTTTTAAAGTTTTAAATATATGTATTTTAAATTGTTATTAAATTGTTTTAAAATTTTACATTTGAATTTAATTTTTTTAAACCAATTCTAACATTTGTATAAAAAAAATTATATATAAATATTTGAAACAAAATTTAAATAAAGTTCAATGTAAAATAGAAATTTAAATAAAAATTATGTTATATTTTTGTTTTTGCTTAACCACAAAATCTCATTGTTCAAGCCAAGACTTACATTTACGTGATACCTTATGTATTTATATTTCTCAAGAACAAATGATGGAAACCCATATAGGGAGCTTGATGGAGATCCATCCAAGAAATTACAACTTAACCAGGGTTGGTAGGATGAAAGAAGAAGAAGAAGAACTCTAATCTTGTGAAGATGGTGTTTCAAGCTTATTTTTTTTCTTTCTCTTAAGTTTAAATATTACATATGTATTTCTTTAGCCCTTATATTTGGGCCAATGACCTACTTATTCAGAAAGCTTAGTACACATTGACGACTTTGAAAATTTAAGTGCATAGGTCAAGAAAGTACCTGCTTACAGTTAATTGAAAACCTTTGGAGTCTAGTTTCCAAAAAATAAATCAGCTCATTTGGAGTTCTCTAGAGAAAGTTATGAGTCAAACAATCAACAAAGGTTAAAGTTGTCAAGATGTTGTCAATTGAGCTAGTTCTTGGCCTTCTAGCATTGCATGGGCCTTGGAAAAGGAGAGTGCCCCTTTTGGCTTGCTTAAGCTTTAAGATACATTTTATCGTTTGGTAGATTGATGAAAAGGCTCTCATGCATGCACTTGGTTAAAAATTTAAGAGAAGGTTCCTATTCTTTGCATTTGGACATTTCAAGAACCTTTGCTAGTTCAGTATACTTTTTTTAAATTCATGAACTTTAGCTTCTTTCTAAAGTCACTCATTCACTTATAAAAGGAATGCTCTATCATTTGTAAAATCAACTTGAAAATAAACATAAGAAAAATTATGCCAAATTGCATTCTCTCTTCTTCTAAGTTCACTAGGTTTTGTCTTTTATAAAGACTTTTCCTAACCCTTTACTTGTAGTTTGACATAACCTCCTTTAAGAACATCTCAAAAACCACCTACAAATTCCTTCATCAATTCATGACTTCCGCTCATCTTTTTTTATCTCCATGGAGGTTTCATCAAGTTACTCGACGAGGTTTCCTTCAAAAAAAAAATCCTAACCCTAAAAATATCTTCTACCTTCTTTAGTCGTTGCTTAAATCTCTTATAGATATACATAAATATCCTTTTTTGTTTTTATTTTTGTTTCTAACAAAGTTTCATTGTTTTCAATACTCACGTTCCCTTTATTCCCGTTTTTGTTTCTGTTTAAAAGTCCAAAAATTTTGTTTTCAATCTTCTTTTTCTTCCTTGTGAAATCCCTATGACTTATCTACCAATTATGTATTTGTTTCTAATAAAATGACCAAAGCTTTGAATGCATGCATAATTAAAGTTTTTTTTTTAAAAAAACGTTTTTCTTTTAAAAAAAAACTTGGCTCATGTGAGGCTCCATTTTTTCATTTAAAACGACTATATGTTGTTTTCTCTCTCTCATTTTTAAGCACCACTAACATGGAGTGTTGCTCCCTCCACCACCTGCAATACCCCATACCTAATTTGTCCTTACTATAAAACGAATGTTGACATCCATTTACATATTTTATATTTTATTTTATTATTTTTATTTTAAAAAAAAAAAGAAAATTTCAACGTGGCCACATCCGTTTAATAGATTTTTAAAAAGTATTTTAATTATTGTTTAAATAATAATACATAAATTAAATTAATAATAATTATTTTATTAAATAAAAAAATATTAATTTAAAAATAATTAAGTAATAATTTTAAAAAAATTAAATAATATTTATATATTAATTTAAAATACAATAAATTAAAAAATTAAAAACTAAAAAGAAAAGAAAAACTTCAACGGACGTGGCCATCCATTTTAATAAATTTTTAAAAAACATTTTAATTATTATTTAAATAATAATACATAAATTAAATTAATAATAATTATTTTATTAAATAAAATAAAATTAATTTATAAATAATTAAGTAATAATTTTTAAAAAATTAAATAATATTTATATATTAATTTAAAATATAATAAATTAGAAAACAAAAAACTAAAAAAAGAACTATCCGTTTTAATAAAATTTTAAAAATATTTTAATTATTATTTAAATAATAATACATAAATTAAATTAATAATTATTATTTTATTAAATAAAATAAAATTAATTTATAAATAATTAAGTAATAATTTTAAAAAAATTAAATAATATTTATATATTAATTTAAGATACAATAAATCAAAAACTAAAAACTAAAAGAAAAGAAAAAATCTCAACGGATATGGTACATCTGTTAGACTTTTTTTCTTTAACAGTCGACATTTGTATAAAAAAAGAGACAGGGATATAAATATTTTAAAATATAAAAAATAGATTTAGAATTTAAAAAAAAAATATATAATTTAAAAAATAATATGGGACGGTGTAGGGAGTAACCTCCTAGTATGCACGTAAGACATTTTACAAACCAAACCCTTCTTTAAACTGTGAGCCCATACAGTGAATTCCCAAGAGAATGAACCTTCAACCCATATGCATCACCAAAGTAACCCTAACCACTGTTATAAGCTTTTCATTGAAAATTTTACATAAAATTATCCATAAAAAACATACAAAATCCAATAATTATAAATTGATTTATTTATTTACCAATAATTTTAACACAAAATCACACAAAAAAAAAAACTAATTTACTTTATCTTATTATTTTCACATAATTTTACAAAAAATACAAAAACTAAATTGAAAATTTTCACACTTATCCCAACTGTTACGGGAAAAAAAATTCTTATTATAATAATTAAAAAAAAAGTAAAAACACTGGTGACAAAGTTATCGTTAGTACAAAATTAACGAAAGAATCAAATTTCGTCACATTTTTTTAAATAAAGACCTAACACTCATCAAAATCTGATGACATGATATTTCAAATAAATTGAGGTTTTAAACCTTTTATTTTTCGGTTTTTAGTAAATTAGATTTTAAATAATGTACCAAAAATAAAGACGTCATCATCAAATACAGAATTGCAGAAGAGACAAACGTGTAAAATCAGCTGGTTGATTTAGTAAAAAAGAATATCTACATAGCATGTCCCTCGCATTCCATTTCTAACTGTTAACATATTTTCTGAAACTGGGGCTTTTCTTGCGGTGCATGTCCCCTCGCATTCCATTTCTCGCCATGGATTCTTCTCTTCCCCTTCATGTTGACGGTGCTGACAAAGGTTTTAATTGCGATGCTGAGAAAGGGAATTCTTCGGTACGAGTAAACTTACTTCCAATGCAATGCTCTTTTATCTGTAGTTCGCTTGCTCAGAGTGTGCTTGTAAGGTTGCATTGAAACGTTTTCTTGTTGTTTGTATTGGTAATTTTCTTTTCAGAGTGCTTTCCCCAGCGAGGACTGGAAGCAGAAATTAAACATGCTTTTGAATGATCAGAGTAAGCAAGAGTTGGTCTCAAGGGAGAAAAAGGATCGGCGTGATTTTCAGCAAATAGAGACTTTGGCGAGCAAAATGGGGTTGTATAGGTAATTTTCCCCTTCCCATTCTCGTGATTTTTCATTGTTTGGACGAGCTTATGCTAAATTGAAATTGAGTGTTAAAATTAGCCTATGCTCAAATTATTATTATTATTAATATTTTTAACTTCAAGAAAAGTCATCCTCATTGTTTCTTTGTTATTTTTCTCTCCTAGAAGTCTTAACCTGAATTCTCAGAGTTATAATTCTTAAATGCATTTATATATGGCAGCCATATGTATGCGAAGGTGGTTGTTGTCAGCAAAGCCCCTCTTCCAAACTACAGATATGATTTGGACGATAAACGCCGCCTTAGGGAGGTATGTTAACTTCTTACATCATGTGCTGTTGACTTTCCTGAATCATTTGAGGAGGATAAGCATTAATGAGTTTAGATAGAGTTTCTTATTGCTAATTTTATTTCATTGGAAAACTTACTAGCTATTTCTTTGAGAGAGTTTCCTAAAGCTTCAAGAATTGACAGGTGAACCTACCTACTACTCTGTTAAGGCAAGTTGATGGATATCTTCAAGAATACCTAACCCAAAAGTCAAGAAGGAAGGAAAACTTTTCCAATTTGTGGTGTGCAACACCAGCCGACAGCGGTGGTACAGATGAAGGGCTTTTTGAGCCACCTAAGTCACTATCATGCAGCAGGGCTGTAGTGGATAAATTTCTTTGTCAGAGAAGTTCACAAATGCGTGATCAGCAAAGAACTTGGCAGGTCATCTTCACTGAAATACAAAATTATGGCCTTATTGTCTTCCGAGATAGACTTTATGTTCATATTTTATTTTATTTCTTTATGTTTTCTTTATAATTAAGACTTTAAGCATTTTTTTGGCAGCTTCTAAGTCTGTTTGTGTATGATGGTGATACAAACCTTGTATTAGAAAAGAACATAAGAGAATAATGTAAACATGAAATGAGAATTATATATTAATTCACACTTTCTACAGAGAGTACAAGCATTGAATATATAGACTTTAAAGCCTATTGTTTTGAAACAGTTTGAAACATATAGTCCCAGTATTTTAAAGGAACATAAGCATGGTAAGATCTAACTCTGTGATGTGTCTGTGCTTTCGTTCAACCACACCATTTTGATGGTGAGTAAGAGAGCAAATAATTCTGTGAACAATACCAGTAGTTTTTAAAAGGGTCGTGAAATATCTAAACTCCACACCCATTTAGTTTGTAAGTTTTTAATTTTGGTTCCAAACTGAAGTTCAACCATGGATTTGAATTTTTGAAAAACAGTGAGAGTCTCATAGTTTTGTTTTAAAGGGTAGAACCATGTAAACCGGGAAAAAGCATCAACAAAATATACATAATACACATAACCATTGATAGAGGAACATGAGAGGCTCCCCAGAGATCACTAAAATCCAATTCAAGAGGAGAATTGTAAACAGTTTCGGAAGCAGAAGAAGGAAGTCTTTGAGACTTTCCAACACAACAAGATGAACAAAAGTCCACAATTTTATTAGATGGTTGAAATTTGCAAAGGGTCATAATAATTTTCAAGACATGAGCATCTGGATGACCTAATCTAGCATGCCATAGATTGCTAGATTCAGAAACAGTGTTTACAACTGATTTAGAATTATCAGAAATAGTGGTAGTTGTGTAAGATTGAGGGATCTTTGACAAGGTAGGAGGAGAACCAACTTGAATATTGAGGCAAGGAAAGGAGTAAAGGCCATCAGATTCTACGACTCCTCTAAGAAGAATTTCATTTGTTGCCTGAGATTTAACAGTACAATAACAAGGAAAAAACTCAAAATTGACACCATTATCAAGAGCAAATTTACTTACAATGAGTAAATTTTTGTTAATTGACTGAACACTCAACAAATTATGTAAGTAAATTAGAGTGGTGGGATTAGTGGAATGCTTAAAAAAAGAACCAGAACCAAGGACTTGCAAACCTTCAACATTGGCAATATAGATTTGATCAGGTCCGTCAAAATGATCAAAGTGCTGAATGTTCTGAGAATCTCGTCACATGAAAAGATGCATTAATTTTTCATTAAATATTTTACTAAGATTTTTCTGAAATAGCACCAGATGATAACATGGCAGTTGACATGTAGCCTAACACTTATGCTGTCAGCTGAATTACGCTTTTGGTCCCTCCAGTATGATAACCGTAAGAAACCAAGACTGTAACTAAGGCATGGCAGTATTGTGTTAGGAAACATGACCATTGTGATGTCAACATCCTTATCACATTATCAAAATCAGTTAATATTTAATAGAATGACAAAGAAAGACCGAAATCACATTATTGCAGAACAATGGTTGAAAGACCCAATTTGTACAATTGGAATATGCAGGACCAAAATCATGCAATTGTGATACTTGAGAGATTAAAAGTGAAGTTAAGTCAAATTTTTATTTTATAAAAAGGTTAGGTTAGAAAGTCAAAATATAATATTCTTGGTAGTTGACAAGAACAATAGGATGGGATGGAGATCCAACATAACATTTTTTTTTTTTTTTTTTTATATTTTTTTAATTTTATTTTTTTTTTATTTTTTTTTTTTTTTTTTTTTCATCAAATTGGTTGTGGAATAGCATGTTTGAAGTCTGGTAGCTAGTTTTCATTGAGGTTGGGTCTAAGCTTTTGGGCAATTCTATTTTTTTATTACAATTTATAAAATTTGTCTTTATCCGTTTCTAGTTTACTTCTTTTTGAGTATTGACATTCTATATTCTATCCACTTGGGCCTGATCTAAGCTGATATTTCTGTTGCGCATGTTCTTAGGTTTCTTTACCCTGTCGATGGATCTTTTGTGGAACTTTTATAGTTATAATTAGAAGCAATCTCTAACTGCTAGGAACCATTGCGCCAAAGGTTGAGCTTAATTTTTGTGATAATGAGTTAAAAAAATGTATTGGTCCTCGGTGCCTTGGTGCTCATTGTTTTATGTATTTCATCAAGAAAACAAAAGTACTGTTTGTGTATGCTTCAGTTAGCTATCCTTTACCCCTTTCTGTACAAATTCTTGAAGATAAAACGTTTTAATTTTAATGTTGTATCCATCCATTCAGGAATCTCCAGATGGAAGAAAGATTCTGGAATTTCGTAGCAGTCTACCTGCTTATAAAGAGAAGGAAGCAATATTATCAGCCATATCAAGGAATCAGGTTTGCTGAAATAATATATTTTGTTAATACTAAGTGACTAATGACTACACCTTATTGATACTGGAAGCCCCTCTTATTTTCACTTGGATACTAATTTGTTAGTCATTGTATTTGATTGTTAAATCTGTTTTGGCGTGTACAGATTTTTTTTGCCTTATTTTCTTTTATTTTAAGAGTGTTATAAGGCCCAACAAACGCCAAACCCAACCTTTTTAAAAGATAAGCACCAAAATAAATCTAATTGAAATGATAAAAGACTAAAAGTATCATATATAGTCTTACAAATTTTAATTGTAGTATAATATATATACTAAACAAATATTTATTTATTATTTTATTTATTTATATGTTGATAAATATTTATCCTTTGCAAATGTTTACATTATTTCTAAACTTTCTTTTTTCAAATCTGTTTTCTTATGGTTGGCGCTTGCTTATTAAACAATCTTTCTAAAGTTCTGGAGTGAATGTTAGATGTATGTATACTCAAGATGCTTCAACGAGTCATATCTTCCATCTAACTTAATATTTATATCATTGAAAAGTAAATCGTGCTTTGTAGTATTAATTTGAATTTTTTTAATGCTTGGCTTCTCAAATTCAATTTTAATTATTATTTACATATTTTTCAGGTACTTATCATTTCGGGTGAAACAGGTTGTGGAAAGACAACACAAGTTCCACAATTTATCCTAGAATCTGAGATAGAATTAGTTCGTGGAGCTGTGTGTAATATCATTTGCACACAACCAAGACGCATTGCAGCAATTTCTGTTTCTGAAAGAGTTGCCTTTGAAAGAGGAGAGAAATTGGGTGAAACTGTGAGTTTTAATAACCGTTCCAATAATTCTCTTTGTTTTGTAGTACGTTGGATTCTAAAGTTTCTATCTCCTTCTTTTTACTTCTTTTGTGAAAGGTTGGATATAAAGTTAGACTTGAAGTCATGCAAGGGAGAGATACCCATCTTCTCTTCTGCACCACAGGCATCTTATTAAGAAGATTACTAGATGATAAAAAATTAAAAGGCATAACTCATATTATTGTTGATGAATTTCATGAGCGGGGAATTAATGAAGGTAGATTTCTGAACTTGATTGTGTATTTAGGTTTTTGTAATATTTTTTATGATAATACTATTGCAATATTTTTTTTTCCTGTGTCAGATTTTTTGCTTGTTGTTCTTAAAGATCTTCTAGCTTTCAGGCCAGAACTGAAACTGATTTTAATGAGTGCTACCCTTGACGCTGAGCTCTTCTCTTCATATTTTAATAATGCTTCAACTATGAAGATTCCGGTATGTTACATAAAATGAATGCCAGCTTGTTTATGTTGTCAAAGGATAATTATATCACTAGGAATTTAGTATAATTGATTGATCATGAATCTCAGTGACAAAGCAGCGATTTATGTTTAACATCTAAGCTGTAAAATGTCTTGTATTGTTAATCATTAATGATTTAGTGAGTTACATCTCAAGCATTTATACAATTAGATTCAATCTTGTTAGTTAAAATCTCTAACTGTTCTACGACAGGCTCCAGATGTTCTAACTTCTAATAGAATGACAGATAGCTGGCCTTTTTCATATGCATAACCTCAACTACCGTAGTAAAAAGAGACATGTACAAAAAGGGCGGGCGGGGGGGGGGGGGGGGGGAAAGAGAAAAAACCACGGCCCACACCATATCATTAAAAAAGGGGGGAAGGGGG